AATGTATGCTGATAGTTGTACACGGGCAGCCAGTAAATCTGGAAGTGGGTACGCAATAAGAAAGTTTGGAAACCTTGGCTCTAGAGGAAGCAAGAACTGTATCATCACTCTTGTTAGATTATCAAACTACTTGAGAGTGGGAAAAAGTGATCTGCCAAAGCACAGATGAGAATTGGCAACAGGTCTAAGACTAGATATTTAGAAGTTTCCAGACCAAAAAGATTTTGTTAAGGATATTCTACAACCCAAGAACGATTTGGGTGGGGGGGAATAAGCAGAACAGCTGAAATGAGATGTATATGCATTTGGAGAACATGCATATCATACCACATAACTAGGCTTGGCAGGATTCATTTTTTAATCAATAAACATTGATAAACGGCAAGTTCACTTGATAGACTGACAGGAAAATATTTCCATTGGTAATAATTGGTATGTATAAAAAAAAAGAGACTCTAACAGAGAACCCTTACCCCTGTTACTGGACAGTGGAGAAAGACAGAGGGACACAGAGCAGAGGGGTCAAAGAGGGAAACAATGGGTGGCCTAATCATAGAAAATTAAGGTTGGAAGGGACCTCAGGAAGTCATCTAGTCCAACCCCCTGCTCAAAGCAGGACCAGCCCAGCCAGGGCTTTGTCTAGCTGAGTCTCCAAGGATGGAGAGTCCATAACCTCCCTGGGTAACCTGTTCCAGTGCTTTACTACCCTCCTACTCAGAAAATTCTTCCTAAACTTCCTTTGATGCAACTTAAGACTGTTCCTCCTTGTTCTGTTATATGCCACCACTGAGAACAGTCCATCTCCATCCTCTTTCGAACCATCATTCAGGTACTGTAGTTGAAGGCTGATAATAAATCCCACCTCAATCTTCTCTAGACTAAATAAGCCCAGGTCCCTCAGCCTCTCCGCAGCAGTCATGTGTCCCAGCTCCCAAACCATTTTCATTGCCCTCCACTGGACTCTCTCCAATTTGTCCACACTCGATCTGTAGCGGGGGGCCCAAAACTGAACACAGTACTCCAGCTGTGGTCTCACCAGTACTGAATAGAGGAGAAGAATCACTTCCCTTGACATGCTGGCAGCACTCCTACCAGTGCAGCCCTTCTTGGCAATAAGGGCACACCGTTGGCTCATATTCAGCTTACTGTCCACTGTAACCCCCCAGGTCCTTTTCTGCAGAGCTGCTGCCCAGCCAGTCAGCCACCAGCCTGTACCAGTGCATGGGATTGTTCTGTCCTAAGTGCAGGACTTTGTTGAACCTCATGAGAGGTCTTTTCGTCCAATCCTCCAATTTGTTTAGGTCTCTGAATCCTAGCCCTAATCTTCAGTGTATCTACTCCTCCGCATCAGCTTGGTGTCATCTGCTTGCCGAGGGTGCACTCTATGCCATCTTCCAATTCGTTGATCAAGATATTGAACAAAACCAGCCCCAGGACCGACTCCTGGGGCACTCCACTTCATACTGGCTGCCAACTAGACATTGAGCCATTGATTACTTACTACCCTCTGAGCCCAGTGCTCCAGCCACTTACTATCCACCTTGCAGATAATTCATCCAGCCTGTACTTCCTTAGCTTGCCTGCAAAAAGATTGTGGGAGACAGTATCAAAGACCTTGCTAAAAATCAAGGTATACCACATCTACTGGTCCCCCTGCATCCACAGAGCCAGTCATCTCAACACAGAAGGCAATCAGGTTGGGGACTGAAGTGGCAACTCCAATTGTGCTTTGGCCTTCATGACTTCATCCCTGCATACCTAAGCGATATTCTTACACTCCTCTCTAGTTATTTGCACAAGTTCACACTTCTTATAAGCTTCCTTTCTGTGATTTAATTTACTGAAAAGCTCCCTGCCAAGCCAAGCTGGTCTTCTGCCACACTTGCTAGTCTTCCTGCACACTAGGATGTTGTCCCCAACACTCTCCAAAAAACTTCCTGGATTGCCTATTACTGCTGTACTGCCCTCCCAGCAGATGTCAGGGTGATTGAGGTCCCCCATGAGAACCAGGGCCTGTGATCAGGAAACTTCCAGCTGTTTGAAGAGAGCCTCATCCACCACTTCCTCCTGGTCTGGTGGTCTATAGCAAACCCCCACCATGACATCACCCTTGTTGTTCTCCCCTCTGACCCTAACCCAGAGATTTTTGACAGGCCCGTCTCCAGATTCAAATTGCAGCTCTGAGTAATCATGGTTTTTACAAAAAGTGCAACTCCTCTTTCCCCCTGCCTGTCCTTCCTGAACAGTTTGGAGCACTGTCATGGATGGGTACAGTCATGCAAGCACCCACCAAGGCTCTGTTATTCGAATCGCATCCTAGTCCCATGACTGTGCAAGGACTTCCAATTCTTCCTGTTTGTTTCCCAGGCTCTGTGCATTCGTGTTCAGGCACCTAAGGTAGCTAGTCAATTGCCAGATTTCTCAGGAAGGATGAGAGCATCTCTGCTGCCCCCCACCCAAACCTTACCTCAGAGCTTTGGTTTCCAGCCCTGGGTGAACCTAGTTTAAAGCCCTCCTCACTATGGCCTGTGGCTGAAGATGCTCTTCCCTCTTTGTTGGGTGGATCCCATCTCTTCCCAGCAGTTCGTCTTCTTAGGAGATCATCCCATGGTCAAAGAGGCCAAAGGCCTGCTGGCAACACCACTTGCTCAGCCAGGTGTTGATCTGCAGAATGCACCCACTCTTCCCTGGGCCCTTTCCCTTGACTGGAAGGATCAAAGAGACCACCACCCGAACCCCCGTTCCATTCACCCCTGCACTCGAGAGCTCTGTAGTCACTTTTGATCTGCTCGGTGTCTCTCCTGGAGTATCACTGGTGCCCACATGGATAAGCAGCATGGGGTAGTTGTCAGAGGGCCGGATGAGTCTCAGTAATCCCTCTGTGACATCTTGGATCCAGGCTCTGGGCAAGCAACAGATTTCAAGACAACAGAGGTCAGGTTGCAGATGGATCCTCCATCCCCCGCAGAACTGTCTCCAGCCACCACCACCCATTGCTTCTTCTTGGTGGTAGTCGTCTCAATCCTTCCCACCTTGGGGAAGCCTCGCCTGTCTTCCTCCACCAATGCTCCTCACCCTGTTGCTACAGCTCCATATTTGTTCCCTAGATAACTGCTGCAGGTGGAAATGAAGATTTCTGCTTGCCAGAGATCACAAGCTTCCACCTTCCTGGGAGTCCACGTCCTCTCCCTTCTCTAGCGCTGCCTCTGGCAGTTCTTCTTCCAATCCCAGAGGTCTCCGCCAGCATCGAATCAATGAACTCCTCATGGCGGAGGATGCTTTAGAGCCTCACCACCTCCTCCTGTAGCTCTCTTGCCTGTTGCCCGAGACACACCACCAGGAGGCACTGCTCACACTACAGGCACATCCCCACCTGGCCATCACCAGAAGGAACCTGCGAGCCGCCGTGCCCATGGCACCAAACCTAGACTTGGATAGAAGCCTCACAGGTGCAAGCAGTGACAGTGGCTCTGGCACTGTGACATCCTCCAGCCATTTCCCTGTGTCTTTTAATCTGCCTCTTCTCTCTTACTGCCCTTCTTCCAAGCACAACTTACCTAGCGAACTTGACTGAAAGCTGGCCTGTATACTGTTCCTTAGCCTCAAAGGCTTTCTTTTTCCTTTTCTTCCTCACACCTACAGAAAGGCTCTCTCCTCAAGTGCGGGTGGGGGGGCAAAGTACCTGCAAACCACTTGCTGCCCCTGGTCACTTGGGGAGTCTCCTTTTATACCATGCTGGACCTGGACTGGCTCCACCCCATCATTAGGGCTTCTGTCAGGCACAGGCAACAATCACTCAGCAACACTCCCAGCTTCTCAGAGCACACCCCCCAAACATTCAGCAAGCCAAAGGCACAGGCAGCTCTAGATCACTTACTTCCCTGGGCAGGATCTGGTGCTGGGTTCTCTCCCCTGCCCTCTCCCAACAAACTGCTTGCCCTGTTTATCACTCCCTAATTGTTTGGAAAGTCTCCTTTTATACCCTGCTGGGCCTGTACGGGCTCCACCCCCTTATTAGGGCTTCTGTCCCACAGGCAGCAACCATTCAGCAAGCACTCAGCTAGCAACATTCCCAGCTTCTCAGAGCACAGGCCCCAAACACACACAGTCCATCAAACACTTAGCAAGCCAAAGGCACAGACAGCTCTGGATCACTTACCTTCCCTGGACAAGATCTGGTGCTTGACTTCTCTTCCCCTTTCCCTTCCTCCTCTTGCTCCCAGCAACCTGCCTGCAAACTGTTTGCCACCCCTGTTTTCTTAGTCCCTGGTGGCTTGGGGAGTCTCTTTTTAAATAACTCATCAATTAAGCAATTACCTACTTGATCTGGCCGAATGACTCATCAATTAAGCAATTAGCTGCTTGTTCACAGGTGCAAGAAGTGAGCTGGAGGGAAATAACAGGCTACTTTAAAAAACCCTACCCAAAAGAGGGTGGGGGGCACGGGACCTGGTATTTGAAGCTCCAGTCTGGTAGCAGTAGGGTCCTCCTGCCTGGGCCAGGCCACTTAAGAGCCGGGGTGTGGGGGACCAAAGACAGCAGACATGGCTGCCTCTCCCCATGTTCCCAGTGGTCTGGGAGTGCTGCAGTTGTCCTCTTGTTCCCTGCCCACCTGGCTCTTTCCTGATGAATGAACAAATTATTTAAAGCAGGTATGATTTACGGATATTTGCTTTTTATATTTTGACATGATTTTAATAAAACTATAACAATATATTGTCATTACTAAATTGTCTGTCTGTCCTCCCCACCCCTAATTTCATGCAATCCTGAAAATCAATCAAACATCAATTTTAGTCATCGAAATTATTAAAAAATTGAAAATCAAATTCTGCCAAGCCTACACACGACACACAGTGGCTGCAATATGTAAACAAAATGTTGTTATACCTTCCTTAAGCGTCATTCTCCCCAACTTAAGTGAAAAATAAGTGATATAAAACGTGTATTTTGGGCCGTCTAACAAATTCCTTTAAAGAAGGGACGTTAAAAACACTAGGCACTGATATTTGATTTTACTAATGGCAGGAAAAAAACACAAAGGAAACAGCTGTTAGACACCGCAACTGTCTTCAAACAATAAAGCAATAATTTAGATGGTTTTATAAAATGTTTACATTCAATATTTACAATTATCTTCTATTAAAAATTTCCATAAGTTAGAATTAATATGCAATCTTAATACAGTTCAGAAAAAAATAACTATAACAATATTTAAAATATCACATACTTTGTATAAACTGCAGAATTCAGCCTAAAGATGGGATACTGTGTTATGCTTTTCATGTAAGTGACATTCAAACAAACAGTTCATTCAGAAGACAGTCCTGTGCTAAATTACTGTTTCTGGGATATTTATGCTCCTGAATACCTGTAGTGAAATACTGTTAATGTATGCCAAACAGTTTAAAAAAAAAAAAACTTATTTAAAGAGACAGACACATTCTTATTCAGTTGTTTAAAAGACCATATTGCATTAAAATAAAATAAGAGTTTCAGTATTGTATCTAAAGAGATACTAAATTTAACCAATACTTATACATTTAGAGACAAATTAGAAATATAAAAATGGCAAATGTAGGAAAAAAAGGACCTGTTCTGATGGACGTGGTACAAACCAATAAAAAGTGACAAGCTTGCTTTAAAACAGATATATATGTAAGTTCTGCACAGCACAGACTATAAAGACTTAATATTTATAATGCAGGTACTATATATGATCCAACCTTAGTTTCATATTCATTAAAAATGTTAGCTTGCAGCGAAAAAGAAATTCTTCAAGAAATGGGGGATAGCTCTCCAGAGGGGAGAGGAAAAGTGCATTATATTTTAAAAAGTGCTTCTTGCATGTTTTTACTGTCTTTTCACAAAAGCCTACGATGAAAAGTGCTTTACTACAAACCTGAAACATGGTAAATTGGCGATTTTTAGTTCCATACCACTGTAGCAGTAAATTCTTCCATTTACCTTCTTTTGCCATCAACCCATACACCCTTTCAAAGGGTAGAATTTTTCTGAATGATAAAATACTAAACTGCTTCACAGCCAATTTGGGGAAAAAAGTAATTTCTTTTTTCCTGCTTATTGCTACCAGCTGGTGCAGCAATGGACAAAGTGTCTAGTAAACGGACTAATGTCACTTGTTAGTAAACTCCTCTGTCACAAAAAGCAGTATATAAAGCATTATCAAGCTCATTAGTAGTTGGAAAAAAGTAACATGCTCTCTAAAGCTTTGTGATTTCATCAAGCATCAGATATGCCTTTATCTTTGAATATTATTCAAATATGGCATCTCAGACCTAAGACAGTTTTACAATATATTCCCAAAGCAAGGACGGTTTCAAATGCATGAAATGAAATATTAATTTCACTCCTTGGTGTGACTACTTAGAGCCTAAGGATATTGGCATGAATTGCAAAAATACAGGTTTAACTCTGAAGATAAAAAAAAGCCAGCGGTCCATGCAGACAAGTTTGGGGTTCTTTTGAGTGCTTTAATCCTTCTACTCCACTGCATCAGCACTTGGCTCACTTGTTGTATGCATTTAGGGTCAGCAAATATCATCCACAAGTTTTGCCCCATTAATCCCACGATATGTTACTCTACTAGGTCGAACTAAGACTCCATGGTTTGGCTTGCAAGTGAAATACCGCTTCTCACCCACAGTTCCATCATTCTTCCCCTTGGCACTTCTGAGTTCAAGTCCAAGCCATATCCCTGGTGCAAAGTCAGTAGGACCAATGTACCTAATAGTGCCCATCTCATTAGAGCTGGTTAGAAGGACCTGAGAACCCTCGTGTAGCTTCACCGGTCCCTCAGTGTTAGCTGTAGTGGTGTTACTCCAGCTGCGCCGAAGCACAGAGCTCTTAGATCTAGTTAAGGAGAGAAAAACAGGTTTCTGACAAAGTGCACACAGGGAGTTCTCCCGTTTGATGCATCTTCCTGACTGACAAGATTAAAAGATAAACTCAAATGCCTTTTAAAGACCAGATTGCTTTCAGATCCCACCTCAGCAGTAGTAAGATATGCGAGAAGTTAATTTACAGATAAAGTACACATTTGAAAATCAGTTCTGCTTTAACTTGATGTTAATACCTACATTTGCTTTCAAATAACTGATATCACTAATACAGCATTATAAACTTGTACAGCTGGCAAACACCTTGAACATGACAATTCAGTGTCCCTATAAACTGAGCTAACACGAAGTTGTTTGTTTTCAGGCCTATACCTGGCAGATAGATAGCTTTCATTCAGAATCTGGGCAGCAAGATAAAAATCCAAAACTAGTATCTATATACAAAACGTTAATGAAATCAATCATTTTGTTCTAACCAGTTACATATTTTAAAGAAATGAGATGCCTTCAAACCATACTCTATTAATCTACAATAAAAAATAAAGAACTAGAAGACTGCCTCAGGTAAGGGGAGTGGATATAGAAGAATTAGCATACGTTCAGAAAAATAACTCCCCTTTCCCCCAATTTGATACACAGCTTAAATCAGCATTTCTCAACCCATGGGTTGCGATCCAAAAGTAGGTCACAAGAATATATGAAAGGGTTGTGAACAGACTTTAAAAATGAAAAAAAGGGAAAACAGTGGCTTTTCCCTTGTAGGCTAGCAGAGTTCCAGCCTGCAAGGGGCTGCTTGCTCCCCGCCCCACACATGGGGGGGGCCTGGAGGTGGGGGGCAGCGGGTCGGGACTGGCCACTGATGTTTACAAATGGGTCCTGGTACAAAAACAGTTGAGAACCACTGACTTAAGTTATAGTTTGTCAAAAGAGCTGGGATATTTCAGAACTGAAACTTGCTCCCCTTCTGTTTTGGTGTCATGAGTTCTGAGTAAGAGCTCATGAGTGATTCAGCTCTTCTAGAGATAGTTCTCTAATCAGTCATTCACTATCAGAAATCAGTGGGGACTGTTTGTTAAGCTAGGCCAACAGAATGAGGAGAGCTACACGTAACTTCAGAGGAATCTTTACCCGTTACATGTATACATCAACAGAATAAAATTCTGACCTTAATTCTCCCAGTCATCCTGAACTTCAGGTGCCCAGTTTTTGCAGCTAATAAATATTTAAAACACATACTCACCTGACAAAGGTATGCCTCCTGTTCATTTCCTTTTGAGAAGATGCAGAAGTTGTACTCAAACTTCGTTTAAAACCTACACGGGACAATAAATAAATAAGGTAATTAAGCTGATTAGAATATTTTTGAAAAGTGTATACGATTTGCATTTACTAGGCTTTTACCATCTCATTTACTAGACTCCTTCCCCTCGCTCCTACAAACTACTGCTCATCAGAAGGAGAATATATTTTTCAAGAAAAAGTGTATTAGAACTAGATTTTTAAGAAGCAGAGGGAAAAGGCGATTAAGTCAATAAAAAAAAATGAAGTTTTAAACACCTCTTCTCCAAAATTTCTGTTCAGAAAAAATTATTTATCAAAAAAAGTCTGAATAGGTCTCAGAAAATATGAGTTTGATATGGAACTGCTCCTACTCTGATTTCCACACCAATCTTGCCATTGCTTCTTCAACTCCTGACCTGTTGTCCTTGCCTGTAAGCTGCTTTGGCAAGACCCTTATTTTTAGTTTGTAGTAAGACTATTATATTAGCACCAGAGATCTGGGCCTCGCTATACTAAGCACTGAACAAATAGGTAGCAAGGCACAGACCCTGCCCCAAAAAGCTTACAATGTAAATAGACAAGACAAAGAAGGGATAGAAGAGAAAGAGACAGGTGAAGTGACTCAGCCAATGTCACACAGGTGAGTGCATGGCCCTAGTGTGTCTGTCTCCCAAGTCCCAGAACAGTATATCCATTGGACTACACTGCTTTCTATACTTTATCTCTGGTGTATAAAAAGAGTTCATAAAGGTGTTCAAAACAGGTTCTTCTGTAGAGATTTCATAAATCCTGTCCTTACAAAATAGCAGATAAAGGGAGAAATATGCATTTAGACCAGTAAGATCCTTCTAAAACCAGACATTTAGTTAATAGAAGCAAGGAGCATAAGAAACATTAGAGGAAGAAATTCAATTTTTCAAATTTTCAGTTTTAGTTGGTTGTTAATTTCTAGGTTTAATATTATTCTTAAACACTGGAGTCTGCAAGTAGGAGGAGAGGAACAGTGGAAAAAACCCTAGTTGTACCTGGTTCACTCTCCCTTTCAGCATCCGCTCTCTAACACTGTGACAGAACACTGGGCAAGATGGACCTATAGTCTGACCCAGTAAGTGGCAGTTCTTATAGGAATCCAGTGTTAAAAACCTTCTGGCCTGCTGTGGTCTTTCTGAGTTCTTTGCAACAAAGAATCATTCTATTATTTTTTTGTAGTGAACAAAAACCAGTGCAAACAACTAAGAACTGACACTTTCTCAGGGGTGCCTGAATATAGAAGAGTGCCTCAAATCTGCAGAGGCATGCCTAAAAAGGTTGAGAACCACTAAGCTATATAAAACATAGTTTCTTACCTGGGAAAGACTGATTCATTTTACCTGAGGAAGTTTCTGTGAGGGAGTCTAGGGAACCTGTTAATCTGAAATGAGACGGTGTGTTAAATCTCTTCCAAACTGAACTATAACTTTAATAAATATATTGCTGAATTATTTTGGAAAGACATCAGTGTCAAGGTTTACTGAAAAAGTGTCAAGGTTTACTGTTGATTAGTGCAAATCTGGGTTTCTTCCCATCCTGCAAGTTAAATTTTGATTCCAAATAGACAGATTTTAATTGCGCACAGGTCTGTTAACGCAGAGTAAGATTCCCACAGCAGTCATTTCTCTCAGCTTGCATAAACTAATTTCATCAATTACTAATCTAAAATGCTACCTGTATATACCCAATAATATGCAAGTTATAGTAAGCTCAATGATCAGAGAAACACTACTAAGGTTTAAGTCTTAATGGAAGTGCAAGATGAAAGTCAATCACACGGTAAGAGAAAGTGCTGCATGTATATTTAAGGCTACAAATACAGTGCTGGTTCCTCTGTGTTGCAGCCTTATAGACGGAAGGAAGTGAGAAAATATTTATCTTTCATTTCGTGATGCATAGTACTGTGGAATTTCACTGTGCTAAAAGGGTGAGATGAGGGAGAAGTGGAGAAGAGAACTGTAACTGGATACATACAAAGTGATCTTCCACTGACCAAAACTAGGCAAGTGAAGAGACAGAGCTGTTTCTGATATTCCTCCATAAGCCCAATATTAGTGGCTCTAAATCAACAACATGGCTCCTAGCTCTGGCTCCTATATGTAGTTTGGCTAGGAGAATTCTACAGATTACCATGAAGTTCCCTACCCTGGGGGTCTTCAAGAGGAGGTTAGATAGGCATCTGGCTGGGGTCATCTAGACCCAGCCCTCTTTCCTGCCTATACAGGGGGTCCCTCTTCCCTGCCTATACAGGGGGTTGGACTCGATGATCTATTGAGGTCCCTTCCAACCCTAACATCTATGAATCTATGAAAGTTACATGGTGTCCAATACAGAGTCCTTTCACTAGAACTTTACATCCAATATCAAGTTTGTCCCTACTAATGAGTAGTCACAAACACCTACTATATTAGCTGTGCTCCTAAAGGTAACTACTGGACTGAAACGAACATTTGAAAAGTGTGCAAGTTTGCTGTAAGAGCCACATGGGTATGCTTCCCATTTATACTGCATTAGTACTGAAAGGTTTCTGTCAATAAGTTGGTCTATGACCACCTAGCCTTCACCAGCAGGAAGAGTACGTGCTTATTAGGCCTGTGCAAAGCAGCTAGTATTTGCTTCGGATTCGGATGGTTTGGGGGACAGTGATTCGATTTGGTGATTCAAATCACTGTCCCAAATCAATTCAGCCAAATCTGATTCAGAGATTCAGTCACCGCCAAACCGGCTGAATCAGAGGCCCCATCTCCCACCCGCTCTCCCAGCCCCATTTGGGGGGGGGGAAAGCACCACACTCACAGGCTACTGCCAGACTGGGGGTGGGGGGGGACAAACCCCACTGCCCCACATTGCGTGAGGAGCTCTACCGTGAGCCCCCAGAAGCCCTGACGGCCACTGCGCAGCCAGTGAGTGCGGGGCGTTTTTTGTTGGTTTTTTTTAAGGAGCCAGGATGCTGGGGACAGGTGGGGCAGCCATTGATGGGGCTGGGAGAGTGGGCAGGGGATGCGGGGGCCCCCTCCTCCAACCAGGGGCTGGGAGAGTGGGCAGGGGATGCGGGGGGCCCCTCCTCCAACCCCCCCTCCCACCCTCTACTTACCGGGACGGAGACCAGGTCCAACTCCCTGTGGCAGTGACCAGGGACTGCGCAAATCTTTTTCAAATCGATTCGGACCTTTTTATTGGTCTCCTGATTCAATTCAGATTCGGAGATTCGACTGCCAAATTGAGCTGAATCTCTTCCTAATCAAATCGGCACCCAAAGCTTCGCACAGTCCTAATGCTTATATAGAACTCTTCCCCAGTGGAGAGAGAGAAAGAAGGTAAGAAAATGAGGAGAGGATAATGTTTGTTTGCATGTCAAAATGACATCATTACTTGCCTCTGCACACGAGATGGTGGTGCAAATATGCCGTATCTAGGGAGGCAGCTAAAGTACTGCACCCCTCCAACTGAACCATCATTCTTGCCATGAGGTTTGTCCAGTTCAATACCACACCAAAACCCTAAAAAAGATAAAATATGAATATTTTTAAAGAATAATTTTAAAATGTCAACTGTGAAGACAGCAACATTTTTGTACATAATAGTTAAAACATGGGATTTATCGTTGTATATTCACCTAATTTATAAATAAGAGGATTTTCACCAAACCAAGAAATAAGATTTTCCTTTTTCTGGATGCGATCTCTTTGATTTGAGTCAATAATCACAAATACAGAGGAAGCAATTCCTAAAAAATTTCAAGATATGAATGTTTTGTTTACAGATCAAAATAATCCCAAAAACGCTGTTCATCTTTTTAAACATCTAAACCTATTTTTAAAAGGAGTTAATTTTAAATAAAATGCAAAAGACCCAAAAGTTGCAAAGATTGTTTTTAGGCAAATGCAATGCTGCTACAAATTTAAGTTTTCTGATGACAAAACAGTCAGGAATGAGTTACTGGCAGTTCAAGTTTCTTCAGCTCTTCGACCACCTACCTTCAACCTGATCTCAAATGACTTCCACTAAAATTAAAGTGTGAGCTAATACTCATTCAAGTCTCTCTCCCTGTCTAAAATACATAGTGCTTCATACTAATGTCAAGCCTGATTTTTGTCATGTGGACACAAATATATGAAGAACTGGGACTGGCCAACAACCCATTTCATACGGATCACTGAACAGCCATCAAATGTTAATAAGTTTGAACACTAGCAACCTGTGATAAATGTGAGCTAATTATGTGAAGGTGATAAGTTCCATATCCCATTATCAGTCCTTATGCTATCCATCCCCAAAGACTCAAAATTAAATTCAGGTCACTTGGAGCTTAGGCTATGGATTTAAGGGCAATACTAATCAGCTGAAGAAACAAGGACCATGACTTTTAAATTAAAACACCTAAATATATATTAAAAAGTTCCTTTTTTCCTGTTCTCACAACAATGTGGCCAAAATCAACAGGCCTATTATTATGCAAGGAATGGCAGGCCACCAAAAGCAATAGGAAAAGGGATTTTTGCCAGCTTGTCAGGAAGATATGTTCCTGTCATTTTTGCATATTATGTTGGGTTTTTTTTAAATGGCTACCTTCCTGACATGAAAATTCAGAACAGTGGTTCCCCCTGCTATTCCCCAAACACACAGTGCTAAATTACTGCAAGCATAAAGATTAGTGATTATTCCACGGTAGAATTTCACCCTCTTTTTTTTTTTTTTTTGCAGTAAAAGGCAGTTTCATTCTCAATGTTAAAAGAGACACAATTTCTCTTCTAAAAATGAATATATTGAAGAGCTCTTTGATAAAGATCATTTAGCTAACACTAAAAGGACTTTGTTAGCATTTGCTACAGTACAGAAAGAAACTCCTTTCATTTGCTCCCTTAAAAGGACAGAAATTAGCACAAAATATAAAAAGATTCAAGATAAAAATACAAGATGGGGGGAAGAAACCAGTTTAGTATTTAACAGAAAAAGTTATCGTGTGAGCTAATACTCATTTGTGTGTCTCAGCATATGTAATCACCAAATACAAGCTGCACATGCGAACATACCCATTTGAGGACAAGAAAACATTTCAGCTGTTTCCATTAGACTGTAATATAGATTACACAGAATTTACAAATTAGATTATATTAACATCCTAATCTAATATTCCTTAAAATGTACTTGTTTCAATGAGGAATACAATTTCTGCCTTTTGATGCTGCATTTTGACATTTTACCTTCAACCTTTTTTTAAATATCGATGCCACCAAGTGTCAAGACAGAGTACTGTTACTTGAATTATCAATCAAGTAGGTTTCCATTTAAACCAGTCTTGGTGAAAAAATACCAGACAACTTAGCTATGGGCAGTCTCAACTTTGTGATTATGTTCTAGGCAGAGGTCTGGAATATGAAGGAACTCAAAAATTACAAGAGTGACAAGCAATTTAGTTGGAAAGGACGCATGGTCAAGTTACAGTTTCTATCATTTCAGAACAATCCACTTCCATTTCAAGATGACTAGCTATTTCTCACAATTGGGGTAATTTCCACCAAGTCAATTCTCTAGGTATCTGCACTTTCTTATTGGGAGCAATAATACAAAAGTGGTCCCAAGAGATAACTGAACTTAGACTAACAATCTTTTTCATAGTTTACCAGCCACCAAGGCATTTCTAAAAAGAGAAGAGCATAAATATATTGTGGTACAGCTTCCATGTTGCAAGATATCAGCATGGACAAAGAGCTGCATATAAAAGCCCAAAGAAGAAAAGGAGTGTGTGATTGCACACCCTCTTCCCCCACCTCCCCACAACTGAACTCACAATATTAAAAACTTTATGAGAATTTCAATAACCAAATATTTCAGTATTAAAATATTTCTTCCAATTCATCTACCTTAATGGTTAAGTGGAAATCACACATTATATATTAAATACCCACCTTCTCCATGCAGCTGCAATTTCAAGAAATATTCTAGCATAACAGGAGAGAGAGAGATTTGTAATGCTTTTTTTAACTTAAAAGTCCAAACACCCACACTGGTCATATTAATCTAATTCTACAATATATTTGATAAACTTCTAAGATACCTGGCGCAAACTTTGTTGACCCATAGAATCTAACAGTGCCAGTTCTCTGTCCAACTACCAGCACCCTGTCTCCAAGCTGAATTTCTCCTTCATCAAAAGGGTTTTTTCTTGTAGCTGGAGAAGCATTATTCAATCCTATTTAAAAAACAAGGAAACAAGCTGAAATTAGCACACCAGCAACTGTGAAAACAAAGAAGGGTTTAGCAACATGTCAGCCAACACAAAGGAATAGTCTCTGACCAACCTGTACTTTATACCAAACCAAAACCCATACAAAATACTCCTTTGCTTCAGTGGGAGTTGTTTGACTAAGGAACACTGGACTTAAAGCTCTTAGTTCATATTTGGAAGTTGAAGGCACAGTCTGAAGTACAGTTCAGCTCTGAAACTTAGACCTTAAAAATCATAACTCCTTGCTCAGTTATGTTAATAACTGTAACACACAAAACCTTAACTTTAGGGATAATTACTTGACAAGTGCCTCCCTCCTTTAAACTATGGTCCCAAGTTGTGACTTAAAGAACAAGCAAATATGTTCCCTGTGAACATCTGACCTATCAGATAACTGACCTGCCCCCACATCCCCAGCCTGTGAAGATATCCCTTATAACTAAACATAGCACACACAGTACCAGTACTGGTTTTAGATGAGATGGAAGTTACTTTAGTCGCTGCCTTCTTATTACTGTTGGTTGAACTCCTTTTTGGGAGATGATTATGTTTAGTCTCTAAAGAAGTAGTAGAAGAAGAGCTACTGGAGCCAGAAAAAGCTGAAAGTAGCAGTAAATGGAAATAGTTATCCAGAAATCATAATCAGGGAAGGACTAACTAACAAGAAAGAAAAAACAAGTATGAAACAGAAAAACCTCATTAATTCACAAAATCAGTAAGGGAGCAAAACAAGAAACAAAACAGACATATGCAGCATGAGCTTTTACTTATTTGTTTTGGCAATGGTAAGCTTGTGTTAGCTATTTATAATGCTTCATGACATACCAGTAAATAGTTTAGAGTATATTTGTTAAAATAATGAAGGCTTATAATACAAGACCTCATCACCTCACTCTCGGCA